CCTGTAATTTGCTTGTTTACTTGTCGGCTACCGCCGGGTTTCATGTTCACGCTCGTACAAATAAGTGTAGTGCCAACATTCTGTGTTCTACTGCTAACTACGAACACCACACATACAGACAGGTTTAGGCTTGCTATTCGATGAACTTGGCTTTAGCAATGTTAGTCTGATTCACAAAACAAACCCATAATTTTCGAGAAGGATATCAGTGACTACATCACAGTCATTATAGATAACCAAAAATTAACTTTTCTATCGGCTGTACTGTAGAGAATACCGAGACTATCTTAAGGTTAGAGCATCATAACTGACACTATAGAGTTTAAACAGCACCAAGGAATTCTCTGATCTGTGACCCTCTGTGAGTGCCTTATCAGCAGATTGGCAAGCCAGTCTGAAAAAGGCTTCTAAATGATGACAATGGGCCTACTATTCGAGAGGAATTATCTTTTTGGCTATCGAGACAGTGTTTTTGCCCCAATACTATTTGATTCCTTGTGAAACAGGCGACTACAACGGACTTGGACAAATAAAAACTCCGAGTTTTGCATTTTTGTAAGCCTAATTACTTCTACGTGAGTACTCGAAAGTGCCTCGCTAGATGTGCTTTGTGCCATTAAATTACCTAATCCGATAGTTCAAAAGTACAAGCAAAGGCCAATTGCATTAACCGAGATTCAATTTCTTCAAAGCGAATTGAAACGTATCATTGAGAGAAACAGACAAATATTCCAATTAACCACACATATTTCGCGCTGTTCAAAAACCAGGCTAATCGATCGCCAAAAACGCCTGACATAGGACTGCTGATCATGACTGCGCAATCGGACAGTGTGGACGCCGACTGACCTCGGCGATGAATGAGGAGAAACATCACGATCGCACTTCTGATATAGGCCGACTGACTGCACCTGAAGTGCCATGGTTAACTGCTGAAGCTGCACTACAATACGCGGACCGTTTGTACGCAACTAGCTATGGACCATTACGGACCGACTGGACCTTACTTCGGTGTATATTATTTCCGTTCAGTTCAAACAACCTTTAACCACTCGCTGGTTGCGGTGGCTATGGTTGCTATCTCTCAGCGGAGATCAAACGGTCATCATCACGGAAGTTAGATGGTGACGCCCCGGGTTCGAGTCCCCGCCCCGCCGGCCACATCTATTCGGAAACCTTTGGTGGATCATGGACATTGTCGGATGTAAGATATTATTTTATTTAAGCCTCAATCAGGAAGGAGTATGAAGAAAACCACAAATAGTATCAAGTCGGCAAAGAAAGTTTTTGAATGCAAGAGCTTCACTGATCGCGACACTCAGCCATATCCTCTAATGCGTCTGTCCCACCCAAGAGGCCTAGCACGCCCTACATGAACGAATTATTTATTCACAACCCAGCAGCCCCCCCCCCCCCCCCCGTCCGCGTCACAGATGCCGGTGAGCATAGTGTTACACGCTACATACCCCAACCGCGCTTGATTTGGAATCAGGGTTTATCCATCTCTCCTAGACTGACTTTCGGTCAGCCAACCCGGTGGAGAGCGCCGGGCATTCGCTTTCGTTTTCTCACTTTGGCGAGAACACCTCCGCCACGAGAAGCGGTGAGGACTTCCTCAGCAGGGGCTATTTGGCAAACACGGTCATTAGGGAGCACTTCGAGAGGCGTTCCGGACGAGTAGTCATCTCGGAGTCCGAGACACTCACCCCCGACCACACTGAGGCACTGGTTAGGATTTTATACTTTTCTTCCACGTAATGCACCGGTCAACCTTACTTGCCTCCCAATCATTATCCCGTCTGCGATCATTACACATCAAGGAACCCCATCCGGAGGCATGTGTAGCGTTTCAACGATCTTTAGTGTTTCATCTGATGATATGGTTTGTATAGTTGGTAGTCTGCGCCTAACCTCAGCATTGCTGATACAGTGTTCCCACCAAATATGAGGAATGTTCCGAGGATATCGGTGTTCGACTACCGGCAATCTTCGTATACTCTCCACTCGCAGTGGCCGTGTTTCAGAACCATACGGAAGAACTGGCCTGAATGCTGTAGCGTACACTACACCCCTGGAAGATAAACGGACGTTATGCCGATGCCACAGATGGCTAGGGTTGGCAAATACCAAACAAGCCTTCTGAATACCCGATGACACTTCGTCCCATATCCCACCTCCGGGTGAAATGCATATTTGTCTTACCTCGATCCGTCGTGACTCACGGTTGGATTGTATCCTAACCAATCATCCAGAACTCTTTTCCGCCACACTTAATGATCATAGTATACTACATCCTAGCCCATGATTACACCCGAAACATGGTCACTTATCCTACATGCAGACCAAACAAATGTTTTTCTCACCGGAACTTATCCGGAGAAAGCCTTTCTCCGTTCAACCGTTCTTTATCTCTCGCCGGTTCCTGGTTACAATACAGCTTTACCCATTGCTCTTCGGTATATTTTACGACCGAAATTATAAACCACATCTTTGAAATTCGCTGTCTCACCGAAGCCGTTTACTTTCATCTAGGAAATGTTTCACCATATCCAGAACAGTCACGCAGGAAGTTAGCCTACAAAATGCGCAACCCAGCCGAGATCAGTAGACCATCAGGCTTGATCGAAAAAAACCGAAAACCTGAACTTCCTATTCTCTTAACAGTTTCCGCACTCCAGAAACAACAAAGACAGATGGCAGGGGATCAAACTGTGGTCAGAAGAAAAGTTTGCCTTCTGATGACATGGATGTTGACCACCTGAATTCTCAGTTCATTTGTTGCTCGAATGACCCACTCCCAGTTTCCATCAGGCCGACAATTCATAAACTGAAAAATTCTCTGGCAGGGGAGTTCTCAAGCACCTCAAGTTAACCAAAGCTTCTGGACCGGAAGGCCTACCCTCGGCGATAGTCAAACACGGGGCTGGACCTCTCTCTGAGCTAATAACCACTGTTTTCAATCATTCACTTGAGTCATTCTCCATTCCCGACTGTTGGCGTTCTGTCACAATCTTTCCCATACCAAAAAGATGGAGTAATCAGACGAGAACCCATGAATTCCGCCCAGTTGCACTTTTTCTTCGTCGGTGGTGAAGCTGGTCGAACTTACCGCATTTCAGCGTCCTCAAAAAACATTCAGAAGTCCTACTGACAAATACCCCGGAGTTCCACGATTATTGCAGTAGCATGCAGTCCATTACATTGCAAAATCCCCCAATAATTCACGCAAATCAGAAAGGCGTGCCTTTTCGACTACATATCTGCATTTGACGATGTACCACGATCCTTGCTTCTCAAAAAATTGGGATCTTTTAGCAGCCCCATATACTTGTTTAACTGGCTGAAAGAATACTTTTCAGGTCGAACACAATGTACCGAAGTTGAAAGAAAAGCTTTCAAACATCTCCTAGGCAGTGCCGGTGTTCTCCAAGGAGCTGTTCTTTCGCTTTACTTGTTCACTACTGACATTAGCGACCTAACTACAATCCAACAAGTCACGCATGCCGACGACGTTTCTCGGCTCGATCTGCCTCTCAGCAGTCCGAGTTAGATGAGTTTCAGGAAAATACTGAACATATCCAAAACTTTTCTGAGCAGTCTAGTCTTCTGCTAAACAATGCCAAATATCAAGAGCGTATTTTTCCACTTCCGCTTCCATACCCGCTAACCCGTTCCATGTTTCAACTACTTCCTCCAGTTTTCGCTGTACAAAACTTTTGTAATTTCCTTCATTGCACGTTGTTTTATCTGAACTGTTAACCCGTTTTGGCGTGTAGAACTTTCATTTTTTCTCGACAGCTGAAAAGCATCGTAAAAACGTGCTCAAGCCGGGGAAATAACAATAATGGATTGACAACTGTTCCACAACGATATCACGGAGCAAAGCAATTAATTTCCCAACACAAACAGTCCTACCGGAGATAGCGAAATATCTTACTGCACAAGATGCGTGTGTGAATGTGGTTCCGATTATCGTACGATAATTTTCAAGCTGGGTGGACAAAATAATAGCCTTTGGTTACACCACTGCAAAATCCGTTCCATATTATCCCTATAGAAATAACTCATGTGAAAGCAAAAACTTGGTATCAACGCCAAAAACAGTGACAGATAGGAGGACGCTCACAGAGGTCATCTTTTTGAGTGATGCGGACTGCTTTGCTCCTCGATCACCCAATCCACAGTAACACGATGAGTGCTGTGGGCATTTTTACGGCGTCGCTTCTGGACAACCAAATGTACTCCTCAGGCCAGCAGGGTTTCCATGGAGTAGCGTGACCGTTTTGGTTCGTCAAACGGCAGTCGATGCATCAAAGTACGTGATGACATCATCGCCTTTCTGTCCAATGAACCTTGATATGGATCACCTCCGTCTATTAAACCGAGGAGAAGTGTCTCACAGAGATATGAAAGTTTCAGATATTCCCCACTTGGTTCGACCCACCAGTTGAGCGGTGTACCGGGATGAGGACAGTGCTTCGAGAAGCAGCATCTTGGAGCGATAAGAAAGAACTGAGTGCCACACAAAAACCAAAAACTAAGGGGATACCCGAGAGATGACAAGTCTCCGGTCGGATATGCTACTACTACCCGCCATCCCATATACTATCCGATAAAGTGCACTCTCGAACAAAATTCATAGGAAAAGAAGTATCGTACAATTTTCTTCACCAATTCCAGCAATCATAGTATCACTGAGAAAACGTATGGGAGTACAAATAGCATGGGAAATGGAATCGATTAGCTCATGGCACCGTGACGACCAGAACTCAACGGTAGGATAAATTAAGTAAATGTAAATCGTTGGCTTGATGTTCAATTGTTGAATGTGTGGTAGTGATCGAACAGTAATCAGAAACAGGAAACAAGAAAGACAGGAATTACATCAGCTTAGGAAAGGTAAGCAAGTGGTAAAAAATCTAAATAGCGGGGGATGGAATAAGACAGAGACGAAAAGTTGGTGCGAGCAAGTTGGACGCGGTGAAAAAGGGAAAGCGTGTTCAGAGTCCCTTATTGTAATAGACCAGAGTGGGCACGTTTGCACCAAGTTTTTCACGAATTTCGGCTTGAACAGACGGTTCCAACTTGTCGAATGCAATTGAACTGATTTGGGGGAACAGTGCACAACACAATGGCGTCATAAAAGTCAGACTGAAATCAACAGGAGAGAGAGAGAGAGAGAACGGTAATCGTTGAGTTGCTGGAGAGAAATAGTGTTCTTTATATATATATATATATATATATATATATATATATATATATATATATATATATATATATATATATATATATATATATCACAAAGTCGAAACAAAAATATAAAGGGTTACTTACTGTTACACTGCGTGTTGCCAGTTTTTTAATTATTACTAAATAACCATGGCACTGGGGAGCACCCTAAACAGCATCTGTGCCACTGGCTTCGATTTGAGTTACATCTCTCAATATCTCTGACCGATGACAATGCCGATACCAATCGTCGAACCACTACATCAGGTCACAACGTCGCTTCTTCCAGCTACACCCAAAACGTGTAAATAACTTTCGGTAAGATACACAGTCGGAAGCCACACGAAAATCATATCCATGATATTGGAGGCGGTGAAGTAATTATCGAGGTTACAGGGCGCTTATCCATACCGAACACACGACGAAGACCCTCGTCACTGTTCACATGGTACTGCCTCAAAAAGCGGACATTGTTGGGGAGATATCGGCAACCAAATTTAGAAAACCGTCGGATGTCCAGGCTTCGAGGAAAACACTACACACAGGGAGGCTGTGCACTCTTCAAAGGAAATCGGATGTCATAGTGGCGTCATAAATGTCGTGGGTTAACTAACTTCAATTTGCCTTTTCGCTTTTTGTAATGTGATCATCTTTTCGAAAGCTCATCAGCTGTAACACAGCTCCTGAATCACTTAATACTGTCGGCTTTTCCCTGCTGATTTCCACAAAGCGGAGTTGCAAGCTCACGCTCCGATTAGTGCACTCCATACTTCAAGACCTAAAATACCAAACGGATCAAATAGTATTGTGTGGCCTGAGACGGTTATACCATAGACAGGTCAGTGCGGCGATCAGTGTGACGATCGACGATTGAATTTGATTCAGTAACGCAAATCTGAAAACCAAAATCTTTTGTTAAAATTTACACCATAAGCAAGAAAACTCTCCGTGAAACACGAATTCTTTGGACATGCACTGTAGGCTAATACAGTCAAAGATAAACGAAGTTTGGTCTGTAACGGTATCTCTGACAGTTTGATTTTTGGTCGTTCCTAAGTACTGTAATCAGAATAATAATTTGCAAATGATTTCAATCGTTTCGTACATGATGGTGGACTATGGACGGAACATTGAGAAAACTCCATTTTATGGTGTTGGTTAAATTGAACAGACCAATCGATCACAATCCGGTTGCGCTAACCACAACAAATTATCTGGATACAAATGTTCTCTGTGGCAAACTGACTCGTACTTGTACTTGCACCTGATTAGACTCTTGTGCAAACAGACGCCCACACTTGTCTTCCGAAACAACCACGAGGGAAGGTGTTCCTATTCAATGACCCTCAACTCCTCTTGCGATAAAAACCCTGCCGTTAAAATTATTTACTTTAGGTGATAGACAGTTATTCACTGTCGTTCGGATCGTTACCACACCTGAACTATTAGGACCGTAGGTGGTTCTCCACTCCGAGTCTCAAGGTTCGGTTGCTGGCTATCCCTAATAGTGCAGTGGGCCTTTGTGGCTATGGGGTATATACCCCTTCCAGTGCATTCATGCCTGGGTATGTAATAAAAAAATAAAAACAACGGAGATGGGACATACCAAAGCCCGCAAATGGAGACTTGGACCGTCGGTCCGATCCAACGAGCACGAGCCAAAATGCCACGCTTCTCAAGCGCATCTACCACGATTGGCGGAATAACTGGTGGGAAGTACGAAAAAAGAAAAATGATTGCTAGATTACTACTCTACCTAGTGTACTGGGTCTGCCTGAAATCTTGATCACAACCCATAGCACGATGAAAACTGAAATAAACCTTCCTATTTTACTGCACTCTAAACCGAATGCAGCGGAAAGCGCATACAAGAACATTTAATACGACTGGTTGTGAAGAAAGAGTACGTTAGATAATGGAGAATCCGCAAGACCAACACCGACAGCCGGAATCGAACCGGCAGCCTTTTGCTTACCGGTGAGATGCTAAGCTATCGCAGTACGGCCAATCAGATGTGAATAACGCAAGTGAATTTCCAATGACACACAGAAACTCTTCTGATTTTAATCACAGGACTAGACTCCTTGGCCACTTTTCAATGAGATGAAGGGCACACGACTGAGCGCAACCCAATTATCATTGAAATACATTTGTACGATATATTATTGGCTCGCGGCGTTGGATTTTTGGATGCAAAAATGCAAGTGAATTATCCATTATCTACCATCCAGGCTCTTCGTGCCAACAATACATTTTACGAATGGGTATTTCGTCGTGTGCGAAAAAAATGATAATCAGTGTCACATCGTGAATCTGGAAAATGACCGGTCGGTATTGATTGATTCGGGGGTTGGTTAATTTGATCGATTAAACGACATTAGAGTTTGCATACTGAATACCGCAACAAGTACAAAGCGCTGAGTTCACCATCAAAACCGATAGTGAGAGCAAGAGTCGGAAAGAACGCGCGCGTGCGCGACAGAGAAAGGTACAACGGAATAGTGTTGATTACGCACTGCGTAATTCACTTGTCATCTTCGACCATACAGATAGGGTACACAGCATCACACCTACTTATATTTCCAATATGTACTTCACTGGATACTCTGGTGATAGACAAACCAGAAGACCAAATGATGAGAGCGGAAAGTTCTCGTTTTGGGGATTAAATATAAACAAATTAATCAGATCAAGGTTGATCCATATTACGAGAGTTCAAAAACTGGCCAGATATCAGAATCCGAATTGACAAATACCATTAATTGTTGAATGATTCACTAAGTTCTAGGATAGAACAACTAATCAGTTGAACGCAATGCAAACAGCGCAACAATTGCCACATTTATTGTGAGGAATTATTACCTACTAAGACTTGATTGATGTGCACGGCAACTGATAATCACAGCATTCCTATGAATTTCACTGATGAGTTGAACGTTGATACTACATGATGAATTATTGCGTGCACAAGGGAAATCTACTACTTAAATTGAACAACCATTGTTGGCGCGAACCCGAATCGCGTATTTGGTGCGCACTAAGAATCAGAGGAACACCTATTTAAGTTTGTATGTACCGACATTAGCATTTGTCTTCTGTTTTAACGATCTCTGATTGAGTATTATAGATGTGAGGGTTGGTTGATTCGTGGCCAACAGACAATCTGTTCGTCCTAGTAGACCAACGCCATTACGGTGAGTCATGGGATGCGCAAACAGAACCGGCAGAGTGTCGAGGTGAAGGCTTGGGACAACGGAAGCAAGAGCGACGGGCCACCGGATCGATGGAGTAAGAGATGAATCCTGGAAAACGACGTTTAGTTTTAACACCAGCCAATTCGAAAGCTTTGCCGCCCAAACTGGTCGGACCAAAACGTTTTGTGCAACAACCGGGTACAGGGACCAACACCCCTTTATAATCATTGTATTTTACGCTTATAAAATGAAACGGTGGAAAGACAGAAGATTCTTCTCACTAGAGCTGGTAGACGGATAAAAACAAAACGCTTCAAAAAATCAAGGTGGTTTAGATGTCGCGCACTGCACACAAAATTCCGAAAACCACATTCCCGTTTCTTCCTCTGAATGAGCCACAGGGGAGCTCTCCACTGTAATGAGTCACAAAACAACCACTTCGATGTTATCACTATCGAAGATGTACAGAGTGTACCAGGACAAAAAAATGGAAATAGGGAAGGTGTTACACAGCTTGGGGTAGAAAATCGGTGGAGATTTGGCACCTTGGACTGGCCACTCGTGCATGTCATGAACAATTGAATGTCAAGGAGAGGGGATCAAAGGGAGCAACTCAAGGTGAACAAAATAAGTAAAAAGGATTGGAAATGAAGCGAAGCATGATGACAGATCAGCGACAGCCGGTTCGAAATTAAGAAAGGGCTATCAATGAGGAGCAGTTTTCCACCAAACTTGATCGAGAAGGGATGGAGAGGAAGAAAAAGCTCCAGCTTGTATGTGGCTGTAGTATTCAAGTGTGGAACGAGTTTGAGATATACTACAGGAAGGAAGCGTACGGGATGTAACAAAGAGCTTATCCTGAACACAGCTCGACCAACAGGCGAAAACATGTGGGACAAACAAAATAGGATTAAATATCCAGAAATGCCAAGGAAGGAGCACGATTTATTGGATCCAAGTGGGACTATATCTAAATGTAAAAGGAGATCTGGTTGGTGCTTAAGGATAGTATACAGAAGAGATTTTAGAAGCACTGAAGAGAACACGGCTGTTAGTGAACCGATCAAAAGTGTGTCACACATTTGTCTTCGGTAGTCGATTTCGGAGGTGGAGCCTTGAGATGAATGATGAAAGAGTGGAATGGGTTGAAATTCAGGGTTAAGATTTCGTCCGTGAAAAATAGGACAACGTTGGTGAAAGTTCGGAAAAATAGAGACCTAAGCATTCATAGGAAACAGCTGCAATCGAATTTCACCAAGTCGGATGGAAACGGTCAATCACTGAGCCCACGATACACAGGCTGAAGCAAACATACTCGCAAGTAGCTGCGAGATATATACAAACCTGAAAGTTAACGGTGGAAATGAGTGTTAGATCCAGTAGAGGGTTTCTCAGATGTCTAACGAGGCCAGATGAGCTTCTCGGTGGTTACCGAGGCGGGCGATCAGCAGTGTGCCACGAGAGCCAGCAGATTACCGTGGCGATTTGGCAATTAGGGTCAATCGTAAACAAGTTCTCAATGGGTGACGGCGAAAATGAGGGATTGTCACAGTTAGGATATCAGTGCACAGCTCAAAATCAGTGACTGAGAGACAGCAACTGATGTTTCAGTCAAATAAACTGAGACTTGCAACTAAAAAAAGTCGTTATTCTGGATCTGGAAGGTTAAGACAGATTAGTGTATGTATTTGCAGACACCGGTTCTGGAAAAGAAACGATCGGACTGGGTACTTCGGAAGGTGAATTTTGGTGATGTCTAAAGAGGAAGCGACTTGATTCTCAGTCAAAGCAAACGGGGAAAACAGTCAAGGAGTGTTGTGAAAAGGCAGTGTGTGAACATGCGCTTTTTTGTCGTAGTCACTATCGTGACTCTGGGGGGGGGGGGATAAACCGGTGGTCGTACCCCAGGACCTGAAATGTCAACCCGTATACAACTTTGCTGGATAGCATATGGCAGCACCATCTAAAACCAATTTGTTGTAAACGACAAGAGGTGTCAGCGAACCGTAGACAGTGATGATCTTACTATTTTCAATTTAATCATGAAGTAAGCTTCATTCTCCCCCTCTCTTGTTGTACGATAGCGTCATGAAAATTATTGATTAAATTGGATTTGCCGCACGTTTCGATGACAACTTTTTCTGAAAGCCTGTGCAAAATGAAGGGAAGGCTAGAACATCTCACATATTCGCTTATAAATTTATTGTACGGCGAGAACCACAAAGCAGAGACTTCCAACTGGCTCATTTGTTCGTGATTTTAAAAATACCATTCCGGTGTAAGGTGAAGGCAACCGTAACGTGTAACTGAACCGGAAAACGAAGTCACATAATGTAAACAGGTTGTAACGAAAACCCATAGATCTTATTGTTTACCAGCTATGTGCAAGTATACATAGAAACACAAATGGGCACACCTGTTTTTTAGAGGCTGTTATCTCGGACTATGTATAATTCTGAATGATCCTGTTCTGAATCACAAGGCGATTGATCACCAAATGGATAACATACAGTATGTAAAGCGAAACTTAACTGGTTCGGACACTACTGATGATATCGAACATCGCGGATGCAACCACCACATATGAACCAATTCCAAGGCACTGAGTTTCACCTGAGAATGCCACCACCATTTAGTCCCTCAGTTTTTGTCCACCAAACTTTGACGCCGCCCGCTGAGTGAGAGAAAACGTGGGTCCTCCTTCACTCACCTTGCCACTGCTCTGCGGTCACAGGGTCGGACAAGGAGGGAGGGAGTATACCTCTGAAATCTCAGCGATCAAACGTTGCCTGACGATTCTACCTAACCGAAAAGTCAAACAGGCGTGAGTACGTCAGTGCTTTATTCAGATAGAGTCCAACCACAATAAACTTGCCTCTTGAGATATTTTCATGCTTTTCTATCGCTCTTTCCCACCGTACTGAGTGGACCGTATTAACCGGCCATTGAGCACAGATGATACGGCGACCTTAAGAGCATGGAGCCAAGTATAGTGACCGCAATGGAGACAGCGTAGCTAAGGTATGTATTTTGTACAATGTTCAAGCGTTAGCGCGGCTGACGTGATACGCTGAATAGAGAAAAAAAAACGCTCGCGAAACTACTGGCGTGATAAACAGTTAGGGGCCCGAGGCATGGATGAAAAATCACATAAAGCCTGGCTAGATCAAACGCACTGGTGAGCCTGACGAAGGCGGTATCACCCGATTATGTGCCAGCCGACCCACGCGTCTGCTTATCTGGTCAAACTCGTCCAGTTACCAGTAAACTACAGAAACTGGCCGGCGGAGCTACAGCTCTACTCCCGGTGGTGACGACTGAAGCTCGATCAATCGACGTCAACATCACTGAACTGCACGGTGCCTGACAAATCTTTTATTGCACAATAAACATCAGCATATGGATTGTTCCATAAAGATAGATTGTTTTACACGTGATGATGAGATAACGGGTAACTTACTCATTCCGGGAACGGCCATGAGGATACGAGAGATCACAACTTTAGTGACAGCTAGACGTCCAACGACCGCCGATTTTCCAAGTGGCTGACCATCTCCATCTGTGATTGGTGTGCCTTCGGAAAACTCGACGCTGCGCATACACGGAATATTGATGCAGTTAGCCGCGGCTACTGCGACGAAAGGAACAAAACGGCCGATGAGTGGTGGGAAACGCTGGGATCATGAGAGGGGGGAAGAACGCGAGTAAATACTGAACAAGTAGCACGAAAGGTAGTCTTGTGGAAAGTTCGGTAGCATACGGGAATGCATGCGAACAGAATGTTTGCAACAAAAAAGGTTGTGTAAAGGAAATGAATGCATCTAGAAAAAAAAATGACGTAATCTAACTCGCATTCATTCAATGTATCCAAAACATAAACCAACCCGTTAAGCTTTCGACAATATCAACGAAGCGGTACAACATCTGCAGTTTTTCAACATTCTCCGCTGGAAAAAGAAGACGTTCAAGATCGTGAAAGGATAAAAAATAGCCAGATTCGTATTCAAAGGCTGATTTTGCTATTACCGTTATCATTATTATACACTAAGCCTGGAGTCAGGCATGGTGTCAACACCACAAATACAGAAAAGTGCAACATGAATAGAAACGAATGGTTATCATTTTTGCTTCAACGCACGGATTTTCGTGGTTTTTTGAAATTTAGTTCGGTATTTGTGAGGCACGAGAGTATCTTAACCAGGCCGCACAGCATTCGTGCTACAGGCCTCCATTCTGAGTCACGTCCCTCAACGTCACGAGCCAACGACAATCCTTATGCCTTAGGCTCCAACTAGGGAGTCGGGACGTACCAGCTGAGGACAGCGCTGATGTCGACTTCATACCCATACGCCAAGTCACGGACCCATGGCCACGTCGCTTCTTCTAGCCATACCAAGGATGCGTAAATAACTCAGAATGGTAGATGACGGGTAGGCATGCGTAAAACGTGTCTAAGACACTGGAGGCGGTGCAGGGAGATTACTTCTATCAGGAGTCGGTGATCCACACTCAACATACGGCGACGAACTTCATCGTTGATTACACGGTGTTTCCACGAAATGCGAGGAATGATTCGGAGACATCAATGGTCTAGCACGGAAAGTGGAAGAGCGTCCTCAGCGCGGTGAGGCCAAAATTCACAACCGTGGAGCAAAACACTGCACACGGTGTCACTGCAGACCGGTCCCTTCAATCAGAGACGGATGTCATGGCGGCGCAAAAAATGACGCAGGCTCATGAAGTCCAGTCTGGCTTTTGCCATCCTAGATGTGATCTCTTCTCCGAAACCACCTTCAGCTGCAATGTAGTCCTCTAGGTACCTAAAGCCACTGCCTAAGTCCAACTACTCACCACAAAGGATGAGTGCAAGCACAGGATCCGACCACTCTGGCAGAAATACTTTGCACGTGGAAGGCGCGGAGTGCATACCATATTAAGATAACTCAGTCGCTCAGCGGTTTAAGACCTGCTGCACTATCTGTGTACTGTCACCCAGCAAATCGAAAACTCTGTTCTCCGGGAGGAGTTCAACTTCAACCAGACAATGCATTCCGTAGTATATCATACACGGTAAAATTAAAGAGAAATGGGGATATAGGGCAACCTTGTCGAACTCCACTGGTGACGACAGAAAGGGCCGAAAGCTAGCCATAGTCTCCAACCCGACCTGAGGTATGACAGTATAACTTTTTGAAAGGCATACTTCTCGGGTACTCCAGTTCCCAACAAACAATGCCATAGTGCAGTCCTATCGACAGAGTCGAAGGCCGTACGAATGTTCAGGAACAGGACTGTCACTGGTTCCTGGAAGGCATGGCGGCGCTCAAACAATTGTCAGACCGTGACCGATGCACCCACGACCGGAGCGAAAATCAGCCTGTTTTTCGCAAGTCCGCTCATCCCGCGTATGGCACAACCTGTGAAGCGTAACAGACGCACGTAGCTTCGACGCTGTTGAGATAAGGCTTGTACCCCTATGGTTGGGGCAGTCAACGCGCGAGCCCTTACTGAAGATGGGAACAACAATCGATTCCTTCACAAGAAGGGGACCTCTTCTGAATTCCAAACTTTGTAGAACAAAATGCGAAGTTCTGTGACAAGCTGCACTCCACCGTTTAAAACAAGATTGAGGAAGGCCATCGGAGTCGGGCACCTTGTGATGTCCCAAGGCACGGATTACCTCATGGATCTAAGTCTCTGTTGGTGGTTCTGTTAGAACAGACCACGGGGCGTGTAAAGAGGAAAACAAAAAAGCCAGCGGGGAGGCGGCAGCTATACTGTGCTTCAAAGTGCCGCTGTTGATTGTGAATTGGTGAACTGTCAGCTTCCCGGATTGTTTCGTTTACACGTAACTGTTTCGTACAGGTGACACGGATGAGATGGAAAAGCTTAGGGGTGTTGTCTTCGCTGAAGCATGTTTTACCTCGGATGTTCTTTTCGACTACCAGATTTTGTGGTCTCCATTTACTCTGGCGTTGAGATCACGTTTAAAGGGGACACGTGTTGCTATGCTTGCTGCCAGCCGGGTTCAAGGGGTATACGTCTTAAAGACGCAGGGATCAGTTCAGTTCATTAAAACATTAACATCGCACTATTGTGTCCTGGTTTCGGTTGCTACCTTGCAGTTTCGCCCAGATGACGGTAGAATAAATTGAACTATACAGCGAAAAAAAGCCGAAAACAAAGTAATAATCAGAAATCATGAAGAAAAACAGAGCCCTAATACAACTAAACCACTGATTGCGATACCTAGCCATAACACTTAATGTCTTCAACCATTTGGGAGGCGGGTCTCGTGGACCCCAACTCGGAAACTTGACTAAATTCACTGGTAAAGGTTTTCACACCTTTTGTCATGTCATGGACTGACCATGTCGACCTGTCTCCCAACCACTACCTGCCTCAGAAAACAGCGTACGCCGAGGCAGTCTATCCGTGGGCATGCGTAACACATGTCCCAACCACCTTAACCTGATTACATTTATCGCTTGTTCCAGTGTCCGACCACTGGCTACCAACAACCTAAGCCCAATCTCAGTATAGCCGATACGGTATCCCCACCATAATCGAGAAATACCACGGAGACGTCAATCTTGAAACACCGAAAGTCTTTCTCAGTCTGGTACCTTTACCGGTCATATATCTGAACAGTATGAAAGAACAGATCTAACTGCTGCAGTGCACACCCAATCTCTGATAGACAACCGGACGTCACGCCGACGCCACAGATGACTGAGATTGGCAAAAAATCAAACACGCCCTCCGTATATGCGATGACACTTCATCCGTTATCTGACCACCTGTTGAGATATAACTGCCTAGGTAAAAACTCATCTCCTTCAGCCAGGGCTTCTACTAACAAAAGAAAGTTTGATGTAGCGCCAACCCAGTCCTGCAGCAGCATTTCACACTTTGAAGGTGCGAAACGCTACCCATACAAAACTTGAAACTTATCTGAACCATCACTCATCAGAACGATATCTTCCGCGTGTTCCAAGTCAAACAATCCACCGCCTAAGCAAGCATGGATGCTGCTATTCTCGCACGAGGGTAAAGTTACCGCAAGAACCACGTTAATTAGAGAAATTGAAAAGGAACAGTGAAAGAGGGCAAACCTGACGAATACCACTTCTCGTGGTGAACACAAGTGAAAGATAGCCGTAAGTACGAACTCAATTCCGGCTGTTTGCATTCAAAGATTGGAAAAGGGTAATACATCTATCCGTAGCATTCCTCAATGAGGCAGCGCCAGAGAACTGTGCGGTTAAGTGAGCCGAATAGCACTTTCAGATCAAGGAAGATAGATTGTGAGCCTACGGAAACCCTACCTGTTCTCTGAAATTTGTCTTGGGGTAAATATATGATTACTACAACCCGATTGGATATGAAATCAACTTGTTTCTCAGGCGTACACCTTTCGCAGGAGTTGGGTAATTGACGGGATGTAATACCAGCAAGCAGTTTAGGCGCGGTGCGTGCCAAGTTGATGTCTCTGTGGTTTTCACAAGAGGATCTGTCACCTTTCCTGTAAATCGGCACAATCACCATTCCCTAGGACCCTACTTATTATCCGGAGTTCCGATAACTCTTAAACTAGAGCTTCTTTTCCATCCTTGAAAAAAGATGGAGACCACCCATTCAGTGAGGCAATTTTGTACCATTTCCAGTAGGCTACTTTCGGGTAACCTCCATTTCCAGTGGAGGTGTGATACCTACGTGCATCGGTTCTCCTGCAGACATGTTCCGAATGTCTACTGTAGAGGTGAGCCAATTAAACTGTTTCTTAAAGTGCTCTGTCCAACGGTCCTGATCATATTCCTCAGAGTCAGTGCTCCCTCGGACTGCGTGATTATCTTGTAGTGACCTCGATCATTCTGAGAAAATGAACATTCCACGGACATTATTTTTTCTACGGTCTTCTCTGGTGCTTGATGTCGACTCTGTTATTTTTTCGGTTGCGTATGTTTCACTGTGCTGATCTTCGCGAGGTTTCCGTAGACCTCGCCTTTGACAGATTCGGTTTTCGGTGAGTGAATGCGCACGGTTCACTGTTGGCTTTGCCGTTGAATCTGTCTGCTTTCTGTGTATTTCTCGTATCGGTACTATTTCGGTGCAACGATAAAGTTTCAGCTTCCATTTATTCAACCATTAACCTCACACTTCCGTGCTACGGTTTCGGTCGCTACCTTCCGGCATCGTCCAGTAAACGGCAAAAAATAATAGAAGCTTTAAGTGAAAAAGATCCAAATAAAAATCCGAGTAATAAGCGGAAATCAAGAGGACAAAGAAAGAGTTCGAATGCAACTACGCCACTGGCAGCGGCACATGGCCATTTCACTTAAGTCTCCACACGTTTGATAGGTGGGTTGCCTAGACCCAACCTAGAAATCTAACACCTCCTACGTGACCAAGTCCACCGTTCAAGGTTTTCATACCTTTTTGCCATGGTCATGAACTGACCACCACGATCTACCTTCCAATCACTACCTGCCTCAGAGAACAGCGCATGCTGAGGAAGTCTATTGGTGGGCATGGGTAGCACATGTCCCCAACCACCTTAACCAGTTTAAATTCAGTACTTGATCCAGAGACTGACCTCTGGTTCCCAACAATTTACACCTAAACCCAGCATTGCTGATACGATGTTCCCACCATACTCGGGAAATGCTACACAGACATCGATGCTCGAACACCGATAAGCTTTGCCTATCTTCTACCCTAACGGCCATGTTTCTTAACTGTATAAAAGAATGGACCTAACCACCTCATTGTACACTCTACCCTTAACAGACAATTGGATGCCACGCCCGTGCCTCAGATGACAGAGGTTGGCAAAATTCCAACGCGCTTTCTGTGTACGTGATGGTACTTTATCCGATATCTGTCCGCTCGATGAGATGTAACTGCCAAGGTAACCAAAGTAATCCACTTCAGCTAGAGCTTTCCTTACCAAGAAGAGGTTTGGCGTTGAGCCAACCCAGTCCTGCAACAGCATTTTACACTTTCAAGGTGCACAACGCATCCCAAACATTGTCACACTGTTGTTTAGGCTATCTAAGAAAGTTCAATTTGGCGAAACAATTTTTTTCAGTAATTCATTCTCATTAAGCAAGACTCATGCGGATAGTCATGGAATGCAAGGGTGTGCAGTTGCGCACTCTAGTGATAGCCGGGGCAATCGGAATCAGGAAGCTGACCCCCGACCTTTGCGCCCAAAAGCGTTTGGTCCAGACACTTCAACTTCCATGGCTTAGGAGCGATCGAGGCCGAATAAATCTGTCGTCCTGTCACCCACAGGGCGTAAGTTAGATAAACCAATCAAATGACAAGAACACATTGACTGTTGACAATCCCCTACCCATGACTGGTGTCTATTCCATGTCTATTCGCATGATTCTTGCCTAATGTCTCCCACGTAATTTGTAAACGGCTTGAGGACGAACTACTGAAAAACAATTGTTTCGCCAAATTGGATATCTAAGAAAGCTTGCAACCTACCTGGATCTTCACTCAGAAGAACAATTTTGTCTGCGTGTACCAGGTCAGACAGTTTACTGCCTGAGCAGAGATAAAAGCCACTATTCTCACACGACGATAGGGCTATCTCAAGAATCAATTCAATTACAAAGTTGAAAACGAAAAGCGAAAGGCGCCAACCCTGACGAACACCACTTTCGGTGATGAACTTCGGTGAAAGATTGTGATAAGCAAGAACACGGCTTCGGCTGTTCACATGCAAGCATTGGAAAAGAGAAATAAACTTCTCTGACACACCCTTCAATGAGAGGCACTGCTAGAGAATTGTGCGGTCGACTGAATCGAACGCTGTTTTCGGATCAATAAAGGCAGATTGTGGGCCTAAGGAACATGTGTCTGTGCTCTAAAGTTTGCCGAAGAGTAAATATGTGGTTGATTCAACCACGAACGGGTCTTAAACAGGCTTGATTCCCACGCGTACACATTTCGCACGCTGGATAACCCGTGGAGAACAAGACCGGTGAGCAGTTTAGACGCGGTACTTACCAAGCTAATTCCTCTTTGGTTTTCACAAAAGGACCTGTCATCTTTCTTGTAAATCGGTATAATCACCGATTCACACCATTCCCTGGGAATCCGACCACTACCCCAGATTACTCTAAGTTGTTTTGGTAACTCCGAAACCAAAGCTTCGCCCCCGTCCTTGAAAAAAGATCGAGAAAACCCATCCCGTCCAGAAACTTTGTACCTTTTCAAATTACCTTTCTCCTGCTTAATCTCCATCTCTGATGAAGGAGTGATATCCACCTGCACCGTTTCTCTGACAAGTATATTTGGAAGGTCCACAGTAGAAGTGGACCAATTGAATTTTTCCTTAAAGTGCTCCACCCAACGACGCAGACGACATCCCTTGGAATGAATCAGTGAGCCATCGGATTCCTTGAACAAATCACTCACACAGGATTTCCGTGGACAGGTGCCTCTAGTCAAACGGAAAAGGTTGTGAGCATTTCCAATGGATGCAGCCTTTCCCATTTCCCTGCATTTCGCAATCCACCACTGCTCGCGGTCATTTCTCAGGCTCCTAATCTGTTGGCCTCTCAGGCATTTACGCACCTCATTGAATGTGGCATCTGGAGGGACGGATCTGATGTTGAAGATATCCATCGTTTTTGAGACCGACTTGAACCTGAGTCCTGGGTGGCATTTGAAGCGGCATTTAAAACTTCCTTTATCTGTTCCCAGTGTTCATCTGGGTCTTGGACATCCGGTTGCATATATAAACATGCAGACAGCTCCGTCTAAAAATTGTCTCACTGGTTATCGTCCAGAAACAACAGCACGGGACGGGTGGCATTTACGTTGGCGCGACCACAGACAAGATGTAAACAGAAGCCAGCACGTGCCAAGGCGTTATCTGATTCCACAGGCGATAAACAAAATGAACGATGATCTTCAATTGATCCACGCTAGCGGTGACTAATAACAATATGGTCAATCTGAGTCCAGCGTTGTGAAGACGAAGGAGGACGCCATGTGAGTCTATGCCGCTTCTTATGGCAGAAGTTCGTACTCGCCAGAAACAACCTGTGGTCGGAGCATAGCTGAATGAGACGATTACCATTGTAAGTGCGATCGGATGGGATAGCAAACAGGCCTCCAATGTGCCTTCCGGAATCTCCCAAACGGCCAACTTGGACGTTGAAATCCCCAGCAATGACCAACACGTCCGTTGAATGTGCGCTTCAAAGCAGCTGAGACATATCAGGGTAGAATGCTCCCTTGATCTCAGAGGAACTGTGGTCAGTCGGAGTATTCCCATATACAACCAACAAGTATCGACACTTCAGTTTGTTGTTGTTGACACGAACAGAACCGTTCAATCGAACTGCACACAAACGACTGCTGATTGGAATCCAGTCTAGCAGTACACGCTCAGCTTTCATGCTCGCAGCAACCCCCACGCAAGCCTGACCACGAGCACTAGACATCGAATCAACCGACACACGAAGAGTGAAACGAGAGAACGAGATTGTATCTGGAGTGCGATGAGTAATCATAGAAGTGGGGTCTTGTGTGCGCATTTTCGAGACACAGTACACATCTCTTCTGAAAGTGTTAAGAGTTCTAGCGAGGGTAGTCTGTGCGGACGTTAAAGGTAGCCAAGTGAAGTGAACATTTAGGCTTAAGAAGTTCATTCAATTTATACTCAACTCCTGAACGACCGCGAGAATTCTGTTTGTATACTTTCATGGGTCGCGTACGTATACACCAGAACACGTGGTCCATAGGCACCACGGGTAGATCAGAAGTAATCAGGGGCAACTCATAATTGATCTGGTTAGATGCCTAAACAGATATAACACTGTGGTTTATTTTTCTCTTTCATTACTTCCGATTAAGCATACTGCTGTGAGATATCAACCAAAGCCACCGCATCTAACGCATGACTAACAGGTTGTATGAACTGGACTGACCGAACTTCTATACAACCACACTATTTGTGACTTATTGCGACGCGGTTGATTTGGGTTTATTGCTGGCTGGAAAAGGGCGGACGCCAGATGGCGTACCGGCGATTGGAGTGTCTGAAATCTTTAACAGCGAGATATAGACTATGGTCAGTGTAGAGTCAGAAACTGCTCCTCGATTTCTGAACGACAGAAATCTAGCCCAAAAGGGCTTCGTAAATGAGCCTTGCTGGGTGACAGTCGACCGACTATAGCATTCATATCTCCCACCAAAATCATGATATCAGCCCGAATAGCTTCATATAAGAGATCGGTTAGCTCTCGATGGAAACCATCTTGCACTACATCTGGGCTCTGATTAGCGGGTGCATGCGCCGAAACGACTAACTAGTTACGTCTATCGGAACGACGGTTGCTCACTTTGCACTAACCCCTGAGTCTCACTGAACATTAACGGCTGCCGAATGGGATCCACTCTAGTTGTGTCGTATCAGTCTTTTTATCGAGAAGTACGCCAACACCAACAAGACCAGAAGCCGCAGCTTCAGTGTCCCCAGAAGGGCCTAACTGAAACTTCGCGGAAAAATTAGATATGGGCATCAACCAGATGACGGAACTGGAGTCTTGAATACGAGCTAAACCTGCATGTTGTCCTACATGCATCATGGTTCGCACGTTGAACGTAGCTAGTTTGAATGGACATCGAAAACGAAGCAGGCCATCAGGCGATAGTGGCACGTTTGGTGAGGCTTGGAAGCTAGTCGAAAAAGGGCGCGGGAGAACATGATCAGGATTTCTACCGGCGACGGTATGGCTAGTACAGTCGACGGGAATTTCCGATGTCGTGATACAGGAAGACAATGTGTGAAGTAAGTGGAGATAGGCGAAGAGATGGGGAAACAAGCTGTGTATGGTGTGAGAAAGCGGGCATGCATGTGAGAGGACAATCGGTCAGTGCAGTGGTTATTTCTTCCCTGGTTGTGTGCGCTGTACTACTCGGTCGACCTGCCCTAACCAGGCCTTTTTGTTCGAGGATGCACCTCAAGCCTTCGCGCATCTTGCAAGGCAGCAGAATTGTTTCTCATGAGCCAGCGGCCAGCCGTACGGTTCATTTGTCTCTTCTGAAAAACCTCGCCGGGTAAATGGGACACCGAGTATGGGCTACGACCTAGTTGGCGGCGGGTGACATTCGCCACGTTACAATACTGTGCACGGGTTTAGGTGACGTTTTAGAGGGGAGAACGCTAGCCAAGTGGGAAAACCCACCGCACCATAGAGCAATGCTACTGGTCATCTGCGACTGTTTACTTTGTGAGCCTACCTTACTTACGGTTAACCGCGAAAATTGCGGCCGTTTCCCTATCCGCGACTTGGGGACGTACTAAGTACCACACAGTTCTGCTATTACTGGGATGAGAAATTCACTGTAAAACAAGTGTGATTCCCGTTTTTTCGAAAGTCAGCTGCGATTTTAACAGTCCTATCTTCTACAGACACACACAAATGATGAAGAGTAAAAAAAAAACGGTGGTGGCATCAAAAGAACTCACCTGAACCTGTTTATTAATTCCTAGCGCAGTAGCCACTGCACCGGTAGTTGCCAACGCGTACGAAATACCAAGGCGACTGTAGAATCAGGAAAAATATTGGATACAGATGCAGCAGAGTGAAGAACGAAACTGAGAGAAGGGCACAATAAAACTTGCAAATAGGGAATAAGTGTAGATAATCTAAGATTGGTCGATAAAAATGGCAAGACAAATACATGACTCATTTGAAAACCGAATTTACACCCGCTACTCAGGTACAATATTTCGCGAATGGGGTTGCGGACGATTGTGGTCTGCGAATGGGGAAGAGACCGTTTTCTGTATGTCCATGTGCAATTTAGACTATAGGTGTAGTGCTCCACACAAAACATTGGTTGGGGCTGTTCTACTGTAACGCACAAGTGAGAGTGGAAGCCTGACTATCAGGACCACAAACCAAGTACTGAACCGAAGTTTTGACCCTGAGGGGAGCAATTAGGGGCAGAGTCCACAGTTAACTAGTAAGTATTTCTTTAGGGAGTAGTTGCGTCCTGATGTGTCCGGATTAGACATTTATTTGTACTGTGAACTAGACCGCGCTTGAAGGACATGACACAATCACTGATGAACTCAGTCTGATTGGAACAACGCTGCAAAACAACGGATATCCAGATACACTATCAACAAACACACCATCACAAAGCCTACGAAGTCGAATATTACATCAGTGCAACGAATGGAGGTCACCATGTGCCTCCCATCTAAGGATGATAATGTCACCCGAACGCCGGAAAGACGCTTAAGATCAGCTGTTGCACGAACTTATGCCACTCAACCGAAAATCATCTACCGCCGATTAAAGAACGCTTATCTTTGTACATCACTTCACACATGATTTACCGACTCGAATGTGGTGTGTAGTCACCTACGTCGGTCGAGCAGAAAAGCAGTTACGTAGTTGGATTTCGAAACATATTTCCAACTGGGTTCAACATGCAACTGATCCCAAGAAATCAAACTTCAACGATCGATGAACTGATGAGACAGTCACCAGCAATAGCTCAACACTTACTGGTGGTGCAACGTTAAGATGATCTGCAGAACGGAAAACACGAAGCTGCTTAGACTGGCCGAAGCGATAGCAGTCTAATGGTGGAAACCAAAGCCGCGCAAACAGAAAGAACTGTATGTGACATTATGTTTACCATGGTGAGTACACGTGTTTGTAATTCTGTTGTCATGCTTTTACACATACATAAACCGTGGCATCAATGGTTGTCTGTAGTATACACTGTGTGGAGATGCAACGAAATTGTCTTGGACACATCGTGCAATATTGTGATTCTGACTTCTCTTTTCAGAGTGTCAAGCGTATCGTAGCAGTGAAACTGGGAATGTCAATGGCACTGACCACACACTCGTGTGCCCTCATCAAGATCCATCTCTCAGCCCAAAGGAAACCTCGCCTGTAAGGTGAAATTCATGTCTCTTTGTTAGCAATTCCAAACAAAACTCAACTTTTGTCAAGCGCTATCGCTTTCAAACTGGACAGGAGTGTTGTTGACGGTGGGTCACGCTAAAAGTATCCATAACACGGGACGCCTTTGGACAATTAAGGAAGATATCCCGGCATAAAAAATAGTGGGTCTCTGAAGAGGCCTCCAGCCGCTGCTCAGGGGCTAGGAAGGCGACTCGTAATTCGCTCGATTTCCGAAGTCTTCTCCGGGAAGCTACGCACTCTGCAAAGAACGATTGTAAACGGTACTGGTCCCAAAAATAACAAATATGACGGAGACCGCAGCCGCCGTTGCAGAATTCGGGAAACTTTTCCGATTCATAGGTTGTTTGGGGGAAAACAACACTCTTACCTTCCTACTGTGGGAAGAAAATGGCCATCTCACTGCCGGTTCTGAATCGCGTAGAATATTTCGCACAAGCCATGGGACTAGAAACCGACACATCAAAAATTAAGATCTTTCCGACCTGCGCTTTACAGTCGCCAATGAACAACGTCAGCATGTTTCAGCGTTTAAATATCTGGGCTCCTCGACTCTTCCAAACGGTCAAGCGAAAAACGAAGTCAAGCTGCGCATTGAAAATGCTAAGATTGCGTTTCCCAGCTTCGCAATACACCCTGGGCGCGCAACGAAATCAGTCTACGGAACAAAGTTCGCATCTTCTGGACCGCTATTCACCCAATATTCACCTACGGCTGTGAAACGTGGTCACTGCGCGCCGAGTACATCAGAAAACTGAAAGTGTTTTATCATTGGTGCCTGCAATGAATGCCCGAAGTGGCATGGCACGACATGCCTTCAAACGGCCCAATAATACAACAGTACTCCGACATCGAAAAGCTGTCACCGTTCCCTTACCACCGGCGACTGCAGTGGTTTGGACATGTGCTACGACGTCCAGGCAAGATCTCAAAACAGTTCCTCTCCTGTTTCATGTCCAGCATAACGCTGTCGCCTTGGAGGACAGCTGAAAACACGGATCAGCACAGTCAAATCGGACGCTGAGCGATTAGGACTCCGGTTTGTCTACGACGTTCGCCACTGAGAGCAGAGCTAAGTTTTTCCTTTTTTATTACACATAGAGTGATTTACAGTAAAAGGGATGAACAGCATAGTCAAAAGACATGCTGTAAAGAGGATGTGTGGCGAACATTCAAGTAAGATTTAGTTTCTTGACCCTGTTTTTGAAAACAGGAAGATTGTAAGTGGCTGGAACTACAGAAAGACGGAGTGTGTTCCTCAGCTTTGCTGTAGTTCGATATTCAGGAACAGAGACCTGATACAGGTGACTGGTCGGCTGCACACGAGACAAACCAAAGAAAGGCATGGGATGAGGAACTACCAAAGCGAGTTCTGATGAACAAAAACCAAAATAAGAATGGCAGAAAAGAGTTAGCGAGGCAACTTCCCGGCGATGGCCAAGTGGCTGCAAAGTGGAGGTTAGGAAGGAAAGACTGATTAATCGGATAGCCTTTCTTTTAACCCGAACAAGTAGAGAAAGAGCAGTAGACGAAGCTCCATCCCATACAAGACTGAAGTATTTAAGAGCAGGGTGGATTGGAGCATTGCACCAAATAAGGTGAGTGGGTTTAAAAGTGCGCTTAGTGCGGAATAGAAAACCAACTTTGCAAGTAGCGCGGGAGGCAAACGTAGACACAAAAGGAGACGAACAAAGAGATGAATTTATGGATAAGCCTGGTAAAGATAGTGACCCTGTGGAACAAATGGGAGTCGAGCCAAAATTAAGATGAGAATAGGGGAGATGTTTAAGTAAAACAGAAAGGAAAGAAGATTTTGAAGCACTGAAACAGAAATTGTTGGTGGAACCTCAAGCTGGGATTTGTTCTAGGTCAGAAGAAAGAGATGCATTAAGAACAGAAAGATCGTGATCGATGGTGGTGGTGGCTTGGCGAGCGGTAAGGTAAGAAATCGAGCAATGAAGACTGGCATCATCGGTAAAACAATGAAGTGGATTGAAGGTGGAAGATCTTTGATATATATATATATATATATATATATATATATATATATATATATATATATATATATATATATATATATATATGTCTTCGGTTGGTGCTTCTCGCACACGTAAATTTTTTGTCTGTTTTTAATTGTTTACGGCGATGGGAAGTTAAGAGACAGGCCATACAGCATTCACCCCACTGGATCCGGCTCCGAGCCATATCCCTCAACGTCACTAATCAACAACAATCTTCATCTCTTGGGCCTCAACCAGGAAGGTGAGAAGCATCAACCGAAAACAAAGCCGAAGCTAACTTCTTCATGGTTCTATGCCAAGTTATAGTTTGGCTGCCGCACCGATCCTTCGACCTTTGCCCTGCATGTGCAAAAAGAGCGCAAAATGATAAACGACAAACGGGGTATATACAAAACGTGCCCGAGCCATCGGAGGCGGTATACAGCGATTACCTATGCCAGAGGGCGACTATCAGCACCGAACACACGACGAAAAACGTTGTCATTGCTCATCCGATGTTTCCACCGGACAGAAGCAATGCTTCGGAGACACCGGTGGTCGAATACAGAAGATCCCCGAGCATCCTCAAAGAGGAGGGGCCAGGTCTCACAACCGTAGAGAAGAACAATACGAACTGTGGCACCGTACACCCTTTTCTTGAGGGAAAGCCGGATATCATAGCGGCGAGACTGCACCTTGACGTGGTGTGATGGCTTGCGCGCCTCTATGACCCAAAGAGCTATACAGGATGGTTTCCTTAAGCCGGATATGCAATCATGCCTGACAGATCAATGGGTAGAGGTTAGACAAAGTTCAGTCTCCTGGTCCTCCAGGTTGGGGGTCGATTTGAGCTGGCAACTCAGTCTGCTAAATCAATGGAAGAATAATTAATCCAAACAAATGGGCTTTCACTAAGCCATCCCGCTGACTTGCGGATAGGTTCTTGTTAAAAACTAAAGGCTTTGGACGAGGACCCTAATCGTTCTCCTGTTTTGTGGCTGGACACCCTAGCAGTGCCCGTCCAACATCTCCCGTGAACTGCACGAATACAAAGAATTCCATACTGCATCGGTCATCGCGCAGGATAATCAGGACCGCGATGCCCATTGCATCGAGCGGGGTGGGTAGTAATAAGTGGGCTACTGCACAGAGTTCCCTCTCTTTTATTCAACCTTTGCCTTCTATCCTCAACTACCTCTCTTCCCCCCATCTATCCACCCATAATGCTCCCACTGATAACACGGTCGATACTCGCAACGATTCACTGTCAAATAGTGTCGGGAATAATCCTCTGTCTGGTAACGCACATCTCAAGCCTCGTCAGCCTCTGAATCTCGGCTCCTTCAACGTGCGTACACTCATGCAGGCCGGTCAGCAGGCGTGCCTAGCGCTCACAATAAATTCTCCGAAGATTGATGTCTGCTGCTTAAGTGAAACGCGTATCCAGGATTCGAGCAGTGCAATTTAACTGACTACTCCTGGTATCTCATCGAGGTATTTCCTGCGCATCTCAGGAGACGAAGCAGCTAGAGCTGTGGGTCAACGTGGTGTAGGAATAGTCTTGACTGACAAGGCTGAGGCTGCACTTTTAGACTGGAT